GTGACTTCTCTGTGTTGGTGTTGTTGTTGTTGTTGTTGTTGTTGTTTAAGTTGTTGTTGTTTAAGTTGTTGTTTAAGTTGTTGTTGTTTAAGTTGTTGTTGTTGTTGTTGTTTAAGTTGTTGTTGTTGTTTAAGTTGTTGTTGTTGTTGTTGTTGTTGTTGTTGTTGTTGTTGTTGTTTTGTTGTTGTTGTTGTAGTAGTAGTTGTTGTTGTTGTTGTAGTAGTAGTAGTTGTTGTTGTTGTTGTTGTTGTTGTTGTTGTTGTTGTTGTTGTTGTTGTTGTTGTTGTTGTTGTTGTTGTTGTTGTTGTTGTTGTTGTTGTTGTTGTTGTTGTTGTTGCTGTTGTTGTTTGTGCTGCTACAACCGCATTACGGTCACAACACGACCACGCCCCGATCACACAGCCATCGTTCACGTGCTACCTGTGGGCCGCGTTTCGTTACATTGCAGGACTGAGTTCTTCGTTTGATGAAGCAACACAGGATCGCGTGTGGGCCGTCACGGCGTGTCAGGTGCGCACTGAAACATTTCATAGTGCGACAGCGGCCGTGAGGCAGCCATGCACACACATAAAGCCATGCACACACATGCAGCCATGCACACACATGCGCGCAAACATGAGCGCGCAATGAGCTACCATCTTCCGTTTCCCCATCTGGTACATTGAGTCTCCACCATTCATCACACGTCTCACACATGGCTGTGTCAACCACCCACTCCTTTTCAAACCAACAGGTCTCATGTGCTGACGACTTTGTTCCCGATGGAGATGACTGTACACGTACGTTGTTGTCATTGTAATGCCTGACACATGTTGCTCGCGCAATACATTTATCTTCGTCCACTTCGAAGTGCTTGCATGTTCAAGGCGTCAACAAGATTTCAGCTGAATCATCGACCTTCAGTGCATCATCACACTGTCGCCATCACACTTACCGCCTACTCGTCGCTGCCTCTGCTCGCTCATGACCTGGTTTGCTGTTGCATTGTCACTTAACAGCCACGCCATGCCCCGAGCTCACGTTCGAAAACGGCCAAGTGTCTGGCGACTGTCATGGCAGAGTTGGTAAGGTACACGCTCCTGCATTTATGGTTCTAGTCGTGCTCGACACATGGCGCTTGGCTCTATGAGTGACAAGGGATGCCGGGTCAGCCAGCACACCCACCCATACAAACGCACATACAAACATGCACACAAACATGTGTACACACGTAACCGCACCCAGAGTCGCGCGCACACACACACACACAATCGCACACTCACAAACGCACGCACACATCGCAGGCGACACATGTGTGTACTCGCAATGCAATGACGGTTTCGTGTTGCGGCCAGGACAGCAATCGCGCACGTGCCAGTCCGACGGCACGTGGTCCGGCTCGGTTCCTCGATGCATTCGTAAGCGCAAACACAAACACACATTATGTGCAACTGCTTGCGGTGTTGCCCCAGCAGAACAATAGAGTGAATGCAATGCCTGAACTAAGGTGCCATGCTTGTCATGCGTTTTCTGTCGCTTGCATTAGTTGTATTACCCATGTGTTCTCCGCAGCAAACTCATTCTCACATTCGCATGTGCGCGCGTACTCATGCATGCGTGTCGCCCCAACATAGCTGTGTTCTGCCCTCAGCTAGCCATACAATATGGCAAGCTTACCGGCAGCTGCTCCGGTAACTTTGGTAAGCTGACGCGTGTGTTGTTGTTGTGCAGATGGCCTGTCCTTTATTTCAGACTTGAGAATGCTGTTGCACAAGCATGGATGCCGCACATTTCGTCTCACCACCACCTCACCCCCCCCCCCACACACACACACAATACCTGACATGCATGCACAACAACCATAGGTGATGTTTGTTTCATGGATGGTTGCGAGTCCGGGTATATGCTGACGGGCAACACAGCTGTTGCCCACTGCGGCTATGATGGGTGGACGGCCGACCTTCCAACTTGCCAACGTGAGTGCTCGCGGAGTACTGCGGCCATGAAACGCGTGTTGATGAGTTTGTCACGTGTTGTTGTGTGTGATGAACGAATGGCAGTCATCGCAATGTGCATGGCCGTGCTGTAATACACACGTGTGCCTCAAGCACACACACACACACACACACACACACACACACACACACACACACACACACACACACACACACACACACACACACACACACACACACGTGTGTTCGTGTGCGATGCCGTTGCTCTAACACGCCATGTGTTGAATTGTTTGTGTGAATGACGACGACCACAACGTAGCGGCCACGTGTCCACCCATTGCCATCTTGAATGGACAGACGGATGGATGTGATGGCGACGTTGGTGAGTTGACCGCATGTGCCTGACGCTGGTATTACACACACACACACACACACACGTCAGGGTTTGCACTGTACCTTTTGGAGGATGTTTGTTGGTGTCAGTTTGTGCCCATATGCCTTGATCGCTTGCCACCATCACCACCATCACTACCATCACCACCACGATGTTTGCAGGCGGGGTATGCACGCTGTCGTGCAACCACGGCTTCATTCTCTCGGACGGCAGTGAATCCGCAACGCTTCGGTGCCGCCAGGAATATGACAGTGGCCCTGCCAGCTGGGTTGGCCCCACTCATGTCGACTGCATTCGTACGTACGCACATGCTGTTGACATCCTCTTGCTGTACTGCGTCATGTGCGCTGTCGGTGTTGTCGTGGCCTGTCAGTAACGTGGTATGCACGTCCAAAAGGTAGTTTGATGCTGCCTCGACATCATCAGACACCCTGACCCTCTCACATTCATGATGGCTTCTTTCTCATGTCTTCCTTCCCCCTTCACCTCAACCTTTTACATCCCCGTCACATGTCACCGTGTCACTGCGTCCTCTTTCTCCCATGTGTGACAGGCGCCTCGTGCGATCCACTCACTCTTGAGAACGGGAGCGTGAGCGGCGACTGCGATGGTTCCTTGGGTGAGTTGTGGCCGAACTGTAAAGCGTGCTGGCTGCTGGTTGATTCTGCTTGCTTTGTAGGTGTGCTTTGTAGGCATGCTTTGTGTTTCTTGATGAGCGCTGGTCGCCTCATTCCCATTCACAGTCATGTCATTCGCGGGCACTTGACGTTGTTGTTCGTGCCTGCATTCGCGTCGTGCGTTGTCCACCGTAACACACGACATTCTTCATCACTTGACGCCGTGCCATCTGACAACCCCTTCCTCACACGATTCACCAACACCATCACACCATGCGTTGACGATAACATGCATGTATGATACCAGGTGGTGTGTGCAGATATGAGAGCTGTGACAACGGCTATCGGCTGTCTGCGTCGGGCACGCGGGAGCGCCTGTGTCAGCTGAACGGCGTGCATGCGCAGTGGTCCGGAGCTGCAAAGACATGCGAACGTATGTGTGTTTCGCATGGATGACCCCAATCGCAGCTCACATACAAGAACACACATGCACAACAACAACAACAACAACAACAACAACAACAACAACAACAACAACAACAACAACAACAACAACAAGCGCACACAATACACGTACGCATATGCTTGGTCTTGCATGATGTCATCTTGGTGTTGTGGTTCAAACACCTTCGTTTCTTCCTCTTGCTGACACTGTGCACACACATACACACATACGCACACACACACGCACACATACACACACACACACACACACACACACACACACACGTGTGCACACATCACGACGTTGTCCTGTTAGGTCTGCACTGTCCCTCACTGGTGGACACGAATGGAGTGCAAAATGGAACTTGCACCAATGCTGCAGGTAGTTCGTTGCATGCAACACTGATGGGACGACAACAGCAGGGCATCTCGTCTCCTTGCTGTTCATGCTCTTGAACAGCAGTCAATACACTCACACTCCCTCACACACACACGCACACACGTACACACTCGCTCACAACGCAACACACTCACACTCCCTCACACACACACACGCACACACGTACACACTCGCTCACAATGCAACACACACACATTCGCTCACAACCCAACACACACACACACACGCATGTACATCACACTCGATCGTGCAGTGCCTGGCGACACGTGCAGCCTGTCTTCGTGTGACTCGGGCTACTGGCAGTCCGATGCTGGTGCCTTTGAGGTGACATGTGTTGCGCAGGGGGACACCGCCGTTTGGGACGGACAACTGAAGTCATGTGAACGTGAGTCATATGCTCGTTGTGTTGCTAAGCTGCACACAGCATGTGCGCTCGCGAGAGTGTGTTTGTGTGTGCACTGCTTGTGTTCACCACGTTACGCTGTGGTGCAACCAGTGTGCTTGTGGTGCAACCAGTGTGCCTGTGCGTGCGTATTTGTGTACGCAATCTGTCCCGTGTACACGCGGATGCTGTTCGCGCTCCCATGCTCACTATAGCTGCTGTGTAATGACATGCTCTGCAGGCGTGAGCTGCACACCACTGGTTCTCAATTACGGCAGCACGCTCGGACAATGCGCAGGAAACATCGGTGCGCTCTCAATGCCCTGTTGATGAACGCGCGCGCATGTGTGTTGGGTGCTGGGTGTCTGATGGTGTGTGTGTGCGGTTTGTGTGTGGTTTGTGTGTGGTTTGTGTGTGGTTGTGTGTGCAGGCGTGCTGCTTCTCAATGGACTGAATCTGTTCACATTTTCCGATCCGAGTACCCACTCTATCTTGCGTCGAATTTGTTCACACACACACACACACACATGCGCGCGCTGTACCTTTGTGAACTTGAATCAGGGGACGTGTGCTACTTCGGCACATGCTATGGGGACCATTTCCTGACCCCTGGCGACCCTTCGCGTCAGTGCGTGCAGAATGAAGACTCTGCATATTGGTCCGGGGACGCGCGCACGTGTCAAGGTACATTGGGCGTGGAGGGATGTGACAGACAGGTCCATATGTGGCAGGCCCGTGTTCGTACTGTACATGACTCCTTTTGCATGTCGCTATTCCCTTTACATGCCATCGTTGCTACCATTCAGTTGCATTTTGGGTGATGTTTCTTTGTTCCTCACATTTGTTATGATTTGTTGTTGTCCATTTCGCTCCCTTACAACACACACACACACACGCATGCACACACACACACACACACACACACACACACACACACACACACACACACACACACACACACACACACACACACACACACACACACACACACACACAGCAACACTGCGAGGACGGGCGGGCCAGGATTTCACGCTCCAGTGTCCTGATGGCCAGGGATTCGTTAGTGTCAAATCAGAATCCAGCGGATACAACGCCGGTGCGACCGTCAACCCTGTCATGTGCTGGAATGTCTCTTGCACACTCACTCACGTACACATGCACATAGTCACGTGCACACACACACACACGCACACATTCACACACACACACACACGTGCGCTGTCTCACACACCCTGACACACACACACACACATTCACTGACATTCACTGACACCCACAGACACACGCAGACACATTCACATACACACGCACACTCACACACACTCACAACCCCCTCCAAATTTTCGCACAACGTGAATGTGCGTTCCTGAACATCTGTGCTGCAGACAAACGGATCATGAAGTTCGGATGTGCAGACGTGGGCAGCAACGACGCGAACCGCGTGTGGAAGTCATACAGAGTGGATAAGCCACTGCAAACATTCGACTTCACCTGTCCAGACAACTACTGTACGTACGTGCTGTGACCTCGTGTGTGTGTGTGTGTGTGTGCGTGCGCGTGCGTTCTACATGACCTGCCTGCGCTTCCTTTGCCCCATTTCAACCCAGCGACGTCCTTTGTGTCGCTTATGCATCCATGTCCCCTCTCTTATTGCTGCTTGACAGATCTGTATGGAGTAGAGACGGAGTACATCCCGTTTTCGGCTCCATCTCCTCCAAGAGACGTCAGCGACCGTGTGTGGACCTTCAATTGCGCAATCCTCCACGGTGCAGAGCTGTCGGACTGCCAAACGAGCCAGCACTACGCAGCCGACGACTACACTTTCGACTTTGCTGCCCCGAACGACCACGTCCTTGTTGGTGCGTCAGATGCATTGCGGATGCACATGCTCATGTATGCGCTTTCCTGTTTGTGTGCGCGCGTGTGTGTGGATGCACATACACATGTATTCGCTTTTATTCACTTGTGTCTTTGTGTATGTGCGTGTAGATACACAGCCACGTGTGTGTGTGTGTGCACATGCGTGTGTGTGTGTGTGTGTGTGTGTGTGTGTACATGTGAGCACGTGCACACGCCTTGCGTGCAACCAGCCCTCATCCATGACCCATCTCCTTTGTTCTCTCTTCTCATTCAAACTCACTCTCACATTACGGATGTGCGCCGATGTTGCGCAACTGCATCACCACACACCAATTGCTCTGTCAATCTGTCGATAGGCTTTTACAGCGAGTATCACACGGGCGACATCTACTCTCGCTCATTCATCTTTAGAACGTGCAAGGTGCAAGTCCTTGATTGCTGAAACACACACGCACATGCACATGCACAAGTGCACACGTGTGCGTTGATACGCTCGTACACGCGCGCACAGTGGCTGTTTGACTGTGTATGATTGCAAGTGCGTTTGTTCGCCTGCACGCGTGTGCATGTGAGGGCCTGCCGGCAACATCAGGCGGCGAGTGTGCACGTGCACATTGACGTTGTTTCTTGTTCGTAATTGCTGTGTAGGTGACGTGCAACGTCGGGGAACAATACGAGTCGACCGCTGGTCCAGGATGTCAACGTGCGGTGTTGTGTGTTGCAACAATGCCATCAGTGTACTTGAATATCTGTGTGCGTGTGTATGTGTGTGCGCATGAGGGTTGTGTCTTCACTTTCTCAACTTCGTCTTTCCCGTTCCTCCTCATCTCTCGTTTAACCCACGCTTTTGTGTGCACCTTTTTTTTTGTTTGTTTTTTTGTTGTTGTTGTTCTTTCATGTATTGGTGCAGGCATTGGCTGTGGCCCACTAACACTTGATGATGGGACGGTTTCTGGCGAGTGCGATGGCCATATTGGTGAGTCGTGCTTGGTGCTACATGTCTTGGTTGTCAACTCGTTTTGTTCATCTGCGCGCGCGCGCACACACACACTCACTCACACTCATACACACACACACACACAAATACACACGCACACACACACACACGCACGCACGCACGCACGTACATCGCATTTCCTGACACCATGTCACCCGTGCCTCACGCACTTCATGACTGCAGGTGACGAGTGCGAGTATGTGCAGTGCGACAGCGGATATAAGCTGTCGGCCTCTGGGTCTGATACGCGCAAGTGTACCATGACAAAGAATGGCAAACCTACGTGGTCTGGAAAACCGAAAACATGCGAGGGTGAGTGCTGATTTGGCGCGCTTGTGCTCGGCCGCTTGCAACCCTAACATGCAGGACGAAGGGCGCAGCGTTGCCAAGACGTTGCATTGTTCCATGACACACGCGCATGCCTTCGAAAACAATTTGAACCCCCTTCCTTTTGTGTTGGCTCTCATCTACACATGTACACATACACGCACACACACACACACGCCCACGCGTGTACACCTGCACACACGCATATGCAGTCATGACAACAACAACGCCGGAGCCGAACGTTGTGGACCTCTGCGATGCGTATGTAACAGCAGCAAACCCAGCCACGTGTCACGCGCGCTGCGAGTACTACAACAAGGGTGCAGGCACATTCACCAAGCAATACGGCAATTGCAACAACGTGCGCTGAGTGTTGAATTGTGTTTTGTTGCGGAATTGCGCCAGGTGCACACTGCTTGTTGTACGTGCTGTTTAAGTGGTGGTCTGCATGTATGTCACACGCAGACGCGCCAAGCGTGAATTTGTGAACGTGCACACATATGTGGCTCATCATCAGCGGCCTCAAACAACCCACCCTATTATGTACTGATTGATGCACATCACCCCTTCCAACGCACATGCATTCACACGATGGCATTGATGCATTACATTCTTGTCACGGTGGAACAGGTGTGCGCCTGCGGATGCGGGCGCCGCTTCCGTCTGACGCGCGATGAAGAGGCATGCACTGCCCATTGCGACGCACAAGAGCTGCAAGGCATCTTCAGAGAGATGCACCTCGGGTGCAGACAGGTGCGTCATATTTGTATTGTGAGTGTATGTGTGTATGTATGTATGTGTATGTATGTGTATGTGTTCGTGAGGTGATCACACGCGCTTCGATGCCGTCTGTTTGGTTCTAATTCACACACACACACTCACTCACACACACACTCACTCACACACACACACACACACACACACACACACACACACACACACACACACACACACACACACACACACACACACACACTACATACACATACACACACACTCACTCACGCACTCGCGCACACACGTGCAGGTGTGCCTGTGTGTGGAAGGTGGGGTTACGTCCACGACATCGCCAGGGGGCGTGACGGGGCAGCCGTCCCCTGGTGCCGCGTTTGACTTCCCGTTTGCGGACTACCACTACGAGCTGACATTCACGGGCAACGTGAACGGTGCCACGAGCAACGCGCGACAATTCTCCACAGCCGTGGACGCCTACGCCATCATTGTCAACATGGAGGCCGAGTCTGTGCTGCAGTGCCTGCGGTACTGTGACGCAGAGCAGGCGTGCCTTGGCGTTGTCATTGCCCCGAGCGACGAGGGTGCATTCCGATGCCAGCTCATGCGTGATTTGGGCACAGACACCGGTGAGCCAACTTCTGAGCCATCCGTGTCCCTGACCAAGGGCACGCGCCCACCCGCCGTGTCCACAACAACGCCAGCCTCCGAAGGCGTTGTGCAGACGGTCGCTGGCGATGGCAGCACCACCTGGTCCGCGGGTGGAGCGCCGACCACGACCGGGCTCAACCGCCCCGTGTGCGTCACCTTTGACGGCGAGCACGAGATGCTGGTGACGATGGTGTCCGACCACCGCGTCATCCGCGTGGACTTGCGCACGCGCACGTCCTCCCTGGTCGCCGGCACGGGCGAGATGGGCGCGAGCGGCGTTGGCGGCGCTGCGACGAGCGCACAGCTGAACCGCCCCCGCTGCGCAATTGCCGATGTGGAGGGCAACGTGTACATCACGGAGGAAGGCAACCACCGCGTGTCGATTGTCGATGTAGCGAGCAAGAAGCTGATTGTGGGTGCGGGCACGGGCAACCCTGGCCACCGTGGCATGGGCGGCACGCCTGGCAACGCTGCCATCCACTCCCCAGTTGGGCTGGCGTGGGCCGACGATGGCAGCCTGCTGTTCTCGGACGAGGAGAACCACGTCGTGTACATGGTGAACCGGCGCAGCCTAATCATCTCTGTTGTTGCCGGCACGCCACGCTTTGCTGGGTACTCTGGTGACGACGGCCTGAGCATTGGGGCGCGCCTGAACCGACCACGTGGTATTGCCCTCTCCAAGGGCGTGCTGTACATTGCAGACAGCGGGAATCACCGCATCCGCGCCGTGGACATGCGTACGCAGGTCATCACCACGGTTGCCGGCACCGGTAGTGCTGGCTTTAGCGGTGATGGTGGGCTGCCCACAAACGCAGCATTGAGGGTTCCGCATGGCGTGGCCGTGCACTCCTCCGGCACTCTGGCCATTGCAGACTCGGGCAACCACCGCGTCCGGGTGTTCAACATTGGCAGCTCGACTGCGGGTGTGATTGAGACGATTACTGGGGATGGGGAGCACGGGTACAATGGCGACAACGCGGCCACGGCGTCGTCCCTCAACTTCCCGACCTCTGTCACCTTCTCTGCACGCACGGGCAACGTTGTCTTTGCAGACACGCGCAACAACCGCATCCGCCAAGTGTGGCAGTAGTTCTTGTTGTTTGTTTTGCTGCAGGTTCTGTTGCTGTGCGTGTGTGTGTGTGTGTGTGTGTGTGTGGCAGTAGTTGTTGCTGTAGTGCTGTTGGTTGGTTTTGCTGCAGTTACAACTGTTATTGGTTGTGTGTGTGTGTGTGTTTCGCGCATTCTCCTTTCTCCTCACGCTGCTTGCGTCAGCGTTGTGTCATCTCTCTGCCTCTGTTACCGAACCTTCGTCCCTTCTTCCTTCTGCGACGACGGCTTTGCTGCTGAAGTCTTGAAGTTGTCGTTCCAATCAACCTCACCTCATCGTGCGTAACGTCTTGTGTCGGCAAACAATACACAAGAAGAGGAAGAAGGCAGCAAGTGAAAGTGTACAGACACACACACACACACACACAGACACACACACACAGACACACACACACACACACACACACAGACACACACACACAGACACACACACACACACACACACACACACGACACACACACACACACACACACACACACACACACACACACACACACACACACACACACACACACACACACACACACAAACACACACACACACACATACACAAAAAGTTGTATCCCATCGTGCTGACTCAGCAAGTTTTTGTTCTGCGCTGAGTGACGACAGCGACACACGGAAAGAGAGGAAACGTGAGCGACGTTCGCGTTCCGACCTCCCAAGACACACATTCACTTGCTTGGTCGCACTGACTTGACTGCCTGCGGCTGTTGTGTGCGACGTCACACACACAGAGCGGACACAGCATAAAGGTCTGCGGACACAACAGCTGCGGACACAACAGAAAGGCACACGCATGAGAGGCTTTTGGTACTGACAAGGGGAAAGCCTCACCACACCTCCCAAGTAAGTCAGTGTGTCACATCCCATCATTTTCTCGCACAACACAACAACAGCCTTCGTGGATTGCTTGAAGGTGATGCTGATGCTGATGGCGATCTGATACACCCCACCTTGCCTCTCCATTTGCATCTCTCCACTTCTCTCCATCTCTCTCCACTTCTCTTCATCTCCCTCCACTTCTTTCTACTTCTCTCTCCATCTCCCTAACCACGCTGAACGTGGGTATTTCTTTCTTACTTGCCAGAACGGACGAGGTCGCGCATACAACAACAGAGTAGTTGCGCTGCGCATCTTGCCATCCTGCCAGCCATGGCTGACCCGTACCGGTCCAACCCCAACAGCTCCTCCACCGGACCCAGCTCACAGCCACCAATGTCTTCCTACCAGCACCCGCAAGCACAGCCACAACAGCAACAACAACAACAACAACAAATACAACAGCAGCACCATCAACAACAGCAGCGGACACCCTATCAACCCTCGCAACACCCGCAACCCTCACAACAACCGCCACAGCCACATCAGCCGTCTCACCAAATGCCCTCGTACAATGGCGGGCAGCCGAACGCTCCATATGGTCGTGCATCAGCCCCTTCAGGATACTCGCACTCCTCACCGGGACGCCCCAGCGCCATGCCATCCCAGCAAGCGGGCCACCCAACGCCATACCAGAACATGCAGCACCAGTCGCCTGCCAGAGGGCAGGGCACACGACCCGCGCCATCCTCCACACCGCAATTTCGGCCTCTCCCGCTCCCAGTCTCCTCCTCCCCCTCATCGTCCATGGCTCCAACATCCATGGCTCCTTCCACCATGCAGCCACAGCAGTTTCAGCCACCAACATCGCATCCACAGCAACAACAACAACAACAACAACAACAACAGCAGCAGCAGTATCGGTCTCCGCCAAGGTCACTGGCACATTCCCACTCTGTGCCGCCGTACCAGGGCCCTCACACATCACACGCGACAGCAGCAGCACCACCACCACCACAACAGCAGCAACAACCACAACCACCGTACTCCTCCCCGTCTCGCGTCCCCACGTCCTCCTCTGCCACGTCATCGGCCGGCATTCCATCCTTCAAACCGCTGCCACTGCCGCAGTCCACACCCTCAGCATCTGCACCATCGACATCACAGCCGCAAGTTGTGCTGAAGCCCCTGGCTCTCAACCAGCCCCAATCACAACAACCATATCAGCCATACTCACAACAACAGCGCCAGTCACAGCAACCCCAATCGCAGCAGCCAATGCGAACATCACAGGCCCCGCCATCGCTGCGGCCGCTGCCAATCCCAACAGCATCGCAGCAACCACCACCGCAACAGCCACGTGGCAGCGGTATGCCTTCCCTGAAGCCGCTACCGCTCTCAACGCTCCAGCCACAAGCGCAGCAGTCGCAGCACCAGCAGCAGTCGCAGCACCAGCAGCAGTCGCAGCAACAGCAGCGCTCAGGACTCAGCAACGCACCACCGCCTGTGGACAAGAACCTCACGAGGCGGCCACACTTTGACATATCCGCACAACTGCGCGATGTCCAGCAACAGCGACAGCAGCAGCAGCAGCAGCAGCAGCAGCAGCAGCAGCAGCCACGACTCTCCTTCCAGCCGCTCCCCCTCCAATCCCATCCCCAACAACCAACGCAATCAGCAGCACCACCAGCACCAGCACCAGCACCAGCACCGACACCACCGCACGTGACACCGCCACGACCGCCGCAGCTGCAGCAGTCGGATGAAATCGCCGCAAAGATAAAGGAGGTGGTGGCTGCGCGGGAAAGATTTGCCCGCGGTGTCACCTTCTCAAGCGATGTGCTTGGCGCGTACGAGTCCATGCAGAACCTGCGACGCTCGCTTGAACGCATGGAGGTGCGCGGGTATTTCAAGGCAAAGGATCGGCCTGCACAGGATCGCGTGCTGATGCTGAAGAGCGTGCATGACCTGGTGCGGCAGTTGCTGGATGGCAGTCTGCACTGCGAGCAGTTTGGTGTGGAGATGGGGCGTGTGCTCGGCATGCACTTCCCCGATGGCTTTGTCGCGCGGCTTGGCGGCTGGGTACAGCGATGGCTTGACCTGAAGAAAGAGCTGATGTCATCACAGGCACAGCCACCACAGCCACCACAGCCACCACAGCCACCACAGCCACCGCAGCCGCACAGGTCTGCACCGCAGCTAACGCCGGCGCAACAGCAGATGAGGCGACAGCGGCTGCTGCAGGTGCGAAAGAAGCTGATAGAGAAGCGCGAGGCACGCGAAAAGCTTGCACCTGGCGCATCCTTTTCCAGCGACACGCTGTCCAAGCTGCCGCAACTTATGGAGTTACAGCTGTTCATCACGCGTTACGAGCTGGCTGAGCTGCAGTTGTACGGCGGGCCTGTCACGCCCAAATTGCTTGCACACATCAACGAGCGAGGGCGGGGGTTGCTCAAGGGCAAGATCAGTGCTCGCGAGTTTGCAAACGAGGTGGCCAAGCTGCAGCACACGAGTGCGCCTGAGAAGTTTATCAAGCAGCTGGAAACCTGGTTACAGCAGTTGCAGAAACACTTGCAGGCGAGACGCGCAGAGTTTCAGCAGAAGATGCAACGGCTTGCTGTTGGCAGAGATGGTGGGCAGCTCGAAGCGACCAGCACTGCTTCGAGCACCAGCCATGGTGGCGACGCGCGTGAGGCGAGCTTCGATGTTCCCTCGTTTTCACTCGACGACATACCAACATCATCAACCGCAGTGCCAACAGCAGCAACAGCGACAACAGCAACAACATTGGTGCCGCTCTCATTCAAACCACTGCCTCTTCCATCAGGTGTGTGTATCGTGTGTATCGTGTGTATAGTGTGTGTATGTGTGTGATTGATTGTGGGACGTTTTGGCCTGTGTTTTCATTTGCGCGAGTGTGTGTGTGTTTATGTGTGTGATTGATTGTGGGACGTTTTGGCCTGTGTTTACATTTACGCGAGTGTGTGTGTGTGCGCGTGTACTCTTGTTACACGCAACACCTGTGGGTTGTGTTTGAGTGCCACACTGACGTGAGAGAACATGCCGGCACCGTTTCACGACATTGCACACATGCAGGTGATACTGCCGCAGCAATGCCCACCACCACAACAACAACAACAACAGCAACAGCAACAGCAACAACAGCTGCACCACCAGCATCACTGCCAACAACGACATCAGCACCTGTGCCGACCAGCACTGCACCCCCAACCACCACCGCAACCACAACTTCAACAACAGCAACAGCAACAACAACAGCAATTTCAACAACCACCACTGGGACAACATCTGCCGCAGGGACGCCATCGGAGAAGACAGCGAAACGGAGGGGCCGTCCACCCGGCTCGCGAGACAAAAAGGCGCGCAAGAAGAAGCCTGGCACGCCTACACCTGCCTCCACACCAACAAGCACCACGAAGACTGCGGATGGCAAGAAGGCCCCTGCCAAGGACAAGGAAAAGGGGAACAAGGCCACGCCTGGTAAGAGCGTGCCAGGCAGTACCAGGGCGCGACCCAAGACGGCAAAGACGGCATCATCCGTGACGTCGACACCGGCATCGAAAGCGAAGCGACCGCGAAAGTCGAAGGGCAGGCCGTCAGGTGCAAGCACACCAACAACACCAGCAACGCCAGGCACACCCGCCGCAGGGACACTCGCAGGCAAGGCATCCACAACGGCACCGACACTGACGCAGATGACAGCCCCGCCTGTGATACAAGCGCCGCTGTCACCGCTGTCGCAGTTGAAGCGACGTCGACCGCCACCCCCGCCGATTGACACGGATGTTCTCAACGATACATCGCTCCTCCTTGCCCCGACCCGGCTTCGAGACCGCATCTACGACACAGGTGCATGCAGGCGGGCTTGTTTGTTTGCTTGTTTGTTTGTTTGTTTGTGCGAGTAACTTGCTTACATGCATGCTGTTCTCTTTTTGTTTCTCCCTGTCTTCCTGGTCGTGTCTCTGTGTTTCGCTCTCACTCTCACTCTCACTCTCCCTCTCACTCGCTCACACAAAACACACACACACACACACACACTCTCTCTCTCTCTGTCTCTTTGTGCGTGTGCTGTGTTCGTGTGCAGTGCTGTCGACGCTTGTGGCCCCGCACATTGGTCGATCACAGAGCACACCCACGACCACAGCCACCATGAACGGAAACAGCAGCAGCAGCAGCGGCGGCGGTGGTGGTGGTGGGAATCACGCAGGCATATACGCGACTGATGTTGTTGGCAGCAGCACGC